TGTGCCGCGTCACACTGCTCAGCCAGACCCAGTACGTCAATCATCAGTTGGGAGCGGGGCTCCCAAGTATCCCAGGACGGGGGATAGCCGCGCCACCGGACGAGGTAACTCGCCCGACGTCCGTTCACGTTGCGGTGGTTCAACAGATGCTCAACTAGATAGCGCTGGCCACCGCGAGAGTCCTCTAATGGAGGTGGAGGAGGAGGGAAAACGATCTCCAAACTATCGTGGGGGGAGCGTGTGTCTCCGAGAGCTTCTTCGATTGCGTAACTCTTGCGTTACGCGGCGATCTCGAACATGAGCGGGACAGGCGTCTCTAACTGTCGGACACTGTCTCGAAGCATCGAGCTGAGTCTGCCTTTTCTCAGCTTGAGAACGAGAGAGCTTTTACATCTCTGCGTGACGAGATAAGGGTAACTCGTGTGGATATTGATCGGTCTCGGGCTGAGATAACTGCTCTTCCAACCCTTGTTGATATCCACGATGGTGGCATCGGGAGCACAAGGCTCTCTGCGAGATGCTTGAGCGCAAGGTCGTTATTCATCGGAAGGAGCAGCGTACTGATGGTACGGCTTAAGCCGACCAACGTAAAACGTGGGATGCGCTCGCATCTTACGTGGCAACTCGATCGTGTATGCATTGCCTAGGCGGTGCAATATACGAAATGGGCCGATGTACTTGGGTAGTAGTTTACTACTACCCAAGTTAGTCACTACATGCTTTGGTAGATTAACCGTAGACAGTAGGACTAAGTTACCTTTATTAAATAAAAGATTGTTTGCCCTTCCATTCTTGTCAGCGTTTTGCTTTTGCTTATCCACCGCTTCGGCGATGGAATCTTGCACAAAACGGACTACCGTTTCACGATACAGAATGAATTCATCTGATGACTCGTTAGCTTCAGTGCGCGGTGAGTGCACTGCAGCAACATCAACCTTTTCTTCAGTAAGGGCTTCCGCGCTCTCACTGGCATCATCATCTTCTTCGATATCAATGTTGTCGATATCGGCATCAAACGCAATGACCTCTTCGTCAGAGCGTGATGAGCGTGAAACAAATCGGTTTTTGCTCGCGCGAGTCCCCCCCCCTTAAACCGTAGTTACACTCAAGTAAGGTGGGTACACGCGGATGGCGTAAGCCATTCACGTAAAACGGTGTATGTGTCGTGGACGCATGCACCGAGTTGTTAATGGCAAACTCTACCATTGGCAAAAACTCACTCCAACTCTTAAAGAAGTGTACGTATCCTCGAAGTATCTCTTCGAGGACACGATTGGCACGTTCCGTCTGACCATCTGACTCTGGATGATTAGATGTCGACATCTTCAAGAGCGTTCCGAGTGATTTGAACACGGAACGCCAGAAATTTGTAGTTAATCGTGGATCTCTGTCTGATACGAGTTCACGGGGCAACCCATGAAGTCGGAAGATGGTGTCGATAAAGACACAAACACATCCACTTGCCGTGATTGTCTCTGGTACAGCCACAAGGTGTACCATTTTGCTGAATCTGTCAACAAATACGAGAATACCCGTATTCCCGTGTGCGTCTTTGGGTAACCCGAAGACGAAATCCATTGAGATGGATTCCCAGCGCTCAGCCAGAACCGGTAAAGGCTGTAAAGGTGCACGCAGTGAAGGACTTGACTTCACTCGTTGACAGACTTCGCATGCGCGAACATACTTTCGCACAAAATGATACTGGCGGGGCCAGTAAAAGTCTCGACTCACCGTGCGATATGTCTTCTCCCGGCCACGATGTCCTCCTATAGGATCATCGTGATACTCGAACATGATCCGCAAACGCAGATCAGTATCATATGGAATGACAACGCGTGGTGTGTCACCAGTGACGGCTGTGTAATACAGTAAACCGTTGCGAGTAGTGTATCGATCTGATGCAGATCGATACGCAGGCGACAATCGTTTCAACGATTCTCGAGATGGTTGGGAGAGATGTGTCAACAACTTCACTATCTCACCATCTTGGGCGTATGTTCGCCTCACATCACCATACAACGTTGAAGATGGTACTGAGGACGTCATAACCGCAACAGTGACTGTCTCACTGTTGGGTTTCGCGACTGTTTCAAATTCGGGACGACGTGAGAGTGCATCAGCGACGACATTAAGTCGTCCTGGTTTGTACTCGACGATAAGGTTGTATTCTGCAAAGAATGACAACCACCGCGCCATTCGTTGTGAAAGGTGCGGGCTGTTCACTGCCGTGCGTAATGACGCATGGTCAGTGTAAACAATGAAGGGTCTATCTCCTAATAGATAGACTCTGAACTTCGCGAGTGCATACTTCATGGCAAGGAGTTCCTTGTCATGCACTGGATAGTTCCGCTCAGCTGGTTGCAGCTGACGCGACTGATAGCAGACGACGCGTTCAACGCCTTCAAGATCGTACTGCATTAATGCACAGCCGATTGCGAAATCGCTGGCATCACAGACCACATGAAATGGCCTGTCCTGATCAACAATTTCTAGGACTGGGGATTGTATCAAGCTCTGCTTGATACCATCAAAGGAGCGCTGACATTCAGCGTTCCATACTCACCTCTCGTTCTTTTTCAACAAACGAGAGAGGTGCACAGTCATCTCGGCGTAATTGCGTGAATACTTATGCAAAAAAAAATACGCCGCTAGCCCAAGGAATTTTCGAAGACCTTTGACATCAATCAGGACAGGCCAGTAGGTGATCGCCTTGATCTTTTCGGGATCAGGACGTACACCGTTCTTACCAACGATGCACCCAAGAAGTGATATTTCGCTTGCTGCAAATATACACTTCTTGATATTGGCATACAATTGATGCTTTCGCATGATTGTAAGAACTTGTCGGACGTGGTACCTGTGAACCTCAACGTCCGACTTTCCATCCATAGCTCGACTATGGATGAATACGTCATCGAAATAATTCGGCGCGAATTCTCGTACTGGTCTCAACAGATGTGATACACATCTGTTGAACGTGGCAGGGGCATTACTGAGCCCTTGTGGCATTACTAGCCATTCCCAGAGCATGCCTCTAGGCGTGCTAACTGCGGTATAGGGTATATCCCGTTCCCGCATAAGGATTTGATAGAAGCCATCCATCAAATCCATGGACGAAAAGATGGTACTTTTTGACATACCATCAATGATTACGTCCTTCCTCGGTATCGGCGTCTGAGCCGGTACCGTTGCAGCATTCAACTTGTTAAATGCATGCACTATCCGCCACCCTCCTGTTGCTTTTCGCACACAGAAGGTCGGAGAGCTATGTGGGGAAGTTGATTCCCTCACATGGCCCGCAGCTAAACGATCGGCATAGAACTTGTCGATCGAAAGTACTTGTTCACGAGGCAGTGGCCACTGCTTCATGACACAGTACTTCGAGCCTGGTTTAAGCTCGACCTCGTGTCGAGTACCTTTATCCTTCGGTAACTCGCACGAAACAGTTTCAGGGAATACATCTTTGAATTCAACCAAATCTTCGTAGAGAGGATTTGTCTTGAGCGATTCCCACGATTGGGAGTCATATCGCTGAACTCGTTTCTTTTCATCCAGGACACTCTCGTCCAGAGATGAACTACTGAGAACTCTCTCGTTCTCAGTAAACACTGTTGCTGACCTTATGTCGGCTACACACTCGTCGTCAGCTACGAGTACGCAGATCTGCTTGACTTTGCCACTACGCAGATCACGCAAGAACCTTTTATGTTCGAGCGTTGGCAACTGAGTGATCTCCGAAGTCAACTTCGGAGGCGCAATCAGATCAAGTGTATAAGCGCCTACACTTGATCCGTTATTGACGATGACATTCAATGTCTCTGTCATTTCCTGGGGACTTATTCCCTCAGGCCTCGAAGGACTTATTCCTTCGGCTTCCCGAGGACTTATTCCCTCGGGTTTCGGGGAACTTGTTACCACCGTATTTGTAATATCGGGACTTATTCCCTTAACTTCCTCTAGCTGGGGTTGCGCAACCACAGCGAGATCCTCTACTCAAGACTCTCCGGTCGATCTAGGATTATCGTTTAGATTAACCTGAGCGATCGATCGTTTATCTTCTAGATGTTCCCCGCTAGGGATACATCTTTGTCCCGGTCCACTCAACTTATTCGAGTGGTGGACCTTCGGCGCAGCCTGTGTTTCCTCACAGCCGCCGGAACTTTGCTCCGAAGTGTAACCGTTTGGTACACTAAGGTTTTGTGCAGTCGTACTAACGACCGTACCACAAGCGAGGCCATCGCACTCACTCGTAGTACATCCACACGCTTGTGGACGCCTCAAAACGTTCATCAGATGGCCATCTGATGAACAAGCGGCAGGCATCGTTACTGTTCGATGTTGCCAGTTTACCCGTGGTTCGTACCTCCTGAGCCAAGGTATTCCAAGGATGACATCAAATCTGTCATCCAAATCCAATACGATAAAGCCATCTTCATATTGGGTATCTTCTAGCGTATAGTGGATCTTCACTATACGCTTCATGACGGTTACGGATGCGCCTGTCGCAAGACGTACCGTCATCCTCGTAGGAGGTGTGTCACATTCACTGAGCTTAAAGTGACCATCTTCTAGCGATGGCGTTGCACAAGATTGTTGGACGCCCCACAATCGACTAGAGCTCGAAGGGACAACTTATTCGTCCCTTCGATTTTCAAGTAATGAGTGAGATCTCATTACCTAGAGCAGCAACGCACAACGTTTGTGTGCTGGGAGCAACCTTCATCAAGAGGCCTACAAATTCTCTTGACGTTGCTGGACCAGTAGGGTGCTCCGCACCTACTGATCCTGTCCGTTTTTTGACGGTCCATCCCGTAGTTGCGTCTTTGCACCAACAGCGGACCCTCGTCACTGCCCCTTTCTCATGGGTGGACGGTCACTACGCCCAGTGTTGCGAGACACTGGACGAGGGGCACTACACTCGTAAGCGTAGTGTCCTGTCTTTTGACATCTGTTGCATTTCTGCAACTTCTTGTAGTCTGTAGAGCGAGCCTTCTCGCTCTCTACATAATAGAGTTCCATCGGCTCTGGACCTCCGTTGTCATATCGTCTCGGTGGACGATGTGATGTCGAGCTGCGCGAGCCTGTCTCAGACTGAAGTCTTCCTGCTCCGCAATGGAAATGGCTTGTTCTAGTGAATCTAGTTCAAGCCGGAACAGGTGAGTCTTGACGGGACCATCCGCAAGACCCTGCATGAACACCGAAACCAACGTGTATCATCAACCGGGTTGGAACTTATACAACTCGTAAGATGTCGTATATGTTGCGCGTAAGCGTGCACATCACGCTTACCCTGCTTGAGCTTCAAGAGTTCAGTTCGAGCCCTGAACTCAGCTCTAGGCGGTTCAAACGTTTGTCTGAGCCGCGACTTGAAGACTTCCAACGACCCAAACGCATATGGGTCGTGCAACTTGAGCCCCAGTGCCCAAGTCTTGGCACGTCCTACCAGATTTGACTGGGCAAATGCAACTTGCATACCCCCGTCGTCGATGCGACGCGCCCTTATGGCGTCGTCTAATTCGACGAACCATCTCAAGGGGGAGTCCTCTTCGACTCCCCTATACTTAGAGATGTCAATCTTCAAAGTCTCGGGTCGACGCGAGTGCATCGACCCACCAGCAGCAGCCTGCTGCTGTCTCAACAGTTCAAACTGTTGAGCACCCTGTTCTCTCTCCAACTCTGATTGTTGAGAACCTTGTTGGTGAAGCAAGGCTACTTTCTCGCGTTCAGCGTTAAGTTCATTTTGAATGAACTTGGCGATAGTAGCATGTTGGGCATTTCTATTGAGAGCCTCTAGCATGACGCTAACAGCATGGATGCCCATGGTCGAACCCATTCGTTCAACCGCATCCCATTCGACATTGCTCAAATGGGAGTAGCCGTCACGCGTAGCGTGAAAGCTTTGGTCATCTTCATCATCCAACATATTCATGTTAGATGTGAACGTGGTCCTTGGACGGACTACAAAGTGCTACCAGGTGTAACGGGGCACCCTGAAGCTTGTACTGGTGACAGTACAAGCTACTTATTCTGATGACAGAATAAGGCGGTGCCTCGTAACTTCACGTACACTCGTACGTGCAGAGGAAGACGGTAGGAAGAAGCAAGTACTTAGTTGAAGTAAACAGTAGAACCGTATTTATAATAGTTAATGTCTGCAATAAATCACTATTTATCCTCATCTAACTATGTCTGAATACAAATGTGTACATCAACTATCTGCTCACCACTCGTTGCGTGCGTCTGTCGTGGCGCGTCTTCGTTGGTTGATATAATGGCCTATATCAACCAATTAGGAACTAGTCGTAAGTGCTACAGAATATTTGTCCTTATGACAATGTTCCGAGAATATAACTCTTATAGTTATATTCGATTAACAACTTCTTATAAATTGTTATGTAACGATTCACCCCGTTACAACTGTATCAAGTTTTAAACTGGCGCTGTAGCAATCCCAGCTTTGTTGAGTAAGTATCAAAATCTTGATACCAAGTCACCATCGTTAAGAGAGGGTTCATTAAAAATTAAGTTAGAGTCTTCGTCCAAGCTACAAAAGCCGACTAGAAAGCTTTTGCGCTCCGTTTAACGACTGCTTGGACAAGGGGCATTAAATTCGATGAGAATGCAATCATCAAGGAGATGGTGGATGGACCAAGGGAGATGTACTAAAAAGGCTTTCACAATTTTTTCCGCAAGCGCGGTTCACGATGTAAAAGTTACGATTGGCTTGACACGTCAAAACAACTGCGCTGTCACCAGTAAATTGAAAATAGATCAGCAATAAAACCGCGTTAAAAATGATCTTAATCCGTTGTCAGTGCTATATTTGCGTTCCATCCAGGACGTTTTTCAGTAAGACTTGACCAATTTCACCTTAAACTATAAAAACCAGCTTGACCCCGGCTCAGGACGAAATTTCACTGAGCTTTTTTGAAAAATTCTTGGACAGCCCCATTTAAAACCTCAGAGCCAGCATACGCGTGACGCCTGAAACCACCAGCCACACTTCCGCAAACTTGAAACTCATGAAACATCCGACTTTCATGCCATCAGACGACTTCGTAACCCCTCCAGCTGTCAAGAAGAGCAGCTTACACACGATTTGGCGCACCGCAGCAGGTTCGTCTCCACTTGTTAATTCCTCCACCTTAACTTTACATGTGGTGCGACTACTCGTTGTCTCGGTTGAAACTTGACATTTGCTAATCCTGAATTTCATCCTGAACTCCTAATCAACCGTACCACTCTTTTCGTTTCCTTTAGAAAAAATTGCTGCTGCCGATTTTCTACTGATCGCAACAGGCGCAGGGTTCTCTGCTGATTCGTCCTTGCCCGTTTACGCGTGCGGACTCTATTTCAACAGTTGCATAAAGCATTTGACGAAACTACTTAAACAACTTTGACCATGTTAGGGACATTGCCAAAGTGGACGCTTACGATAAAATGGGCGTCGAATACCATGATCTCTGTGATCCGTACATGCTCGAGCAGGACGAGGACGTTTTCTATGGGTTTTGGGGCAGTTGTACGAATTCGTATCGAGATACAAAGCACCATCGAGGATACGAGATATTGCTCAAGTGGAAAGACGCTGTTCGAACGAAAGGAGATGCTGACCAAAACAGCAACATGGCTGCAAAAAGAGCCAAGTTCCGAGCAGCTTTTGACCAATTGAAACAGTGTGGGGCTCTTCCTTCTGGCGTGACGATCGAGTCTGTGACAAACGACCCCTTCTTTGTCTACACGTCCAATGTATGCAGGTCATTTTGCTCATCATACTTGGTGATCGAGCCTGAAAGATATGTGTGGACATGTTTGCGACAATTGTAGGTTGACTCGCATTGGACTCGAGATTTTGACACTGAGGAAGTTTATGAGCTACACGGCAGTGTGGAGACGTGGCAGTGTGCTGGGGATGTCGAGACGAACGCTCGAGAGCCATGTAAAAAGACCTGGATGCTGCCTGTAGACTTTCGCTTTGATCTGGATATGACGACGATGAGAGCGCCTGGCGCGGGGGCAACAACGTGTCCTGAATGTGGGGGCAAAGGACGTCCGAACGTACTAATGTTTCACGATCGACAATGGATCGCCAATACCTCGGAAGAGGTACGATAGCGAGGAACATCTTGTTTGTGTCATTTGATCCTGCTTGATATAGACGTTGGCTGACGATCTGGATATCGTGCAGAACGGCTACATTGCATGGGAATCAGTGATGGAGCTGGTAAGTCCGTGCCACCTGTTTATATTTCTACTGATGACAACTTAGTTGCTAGTGTGTATTGAACTCCTGTAGATGCTCCAAGAAGACCCTATGCTCAATCTGGTTGTGCTCGAAATAGGCTGCGGAACACGGGTTCGTAACATAAGTAATGCTGCTCATGTGCGTCATTGTGATGCCTTAGTCGTTTTTGCTGCGCTAGGTTCCATCTGTCCGAAGAGAAACTGAAATGGTCGTTGCCGATGTGATTGAGGGCTGCGGTCGTCCGCAAGCGACACTCATCCGAGTCAACCCTGACAATTTTTCTTGCACTAACCCGCTTATTATTGCGAATAAGCGTTTCCTATCTATCCCATCGAAAGGCCTAGAAGCTTTAGAAAGCATTGATCGAGAGCTTAGTAATTTTCAGCTGAAAACCTGCGGAGTCATCTAAGCTAGGTGACAGCGGATAAGGAGTTTTGATACTTACACTGTACAGTGTTTGCTCACATCGTACATAACTCCGATCCTTTCGTACTGCAAGACCGCTATCAATGGTCGATGCAAATGCATGTCCAAGTATGTCCAATTTACCTCCATTCTGAACCACTTACACACCAATCCTGCTACGACTTTGGAACTATAGAATACGATTACATCAAAGCTGTGTGATCCGACGCGAAACTTGTTGAACGTTTGCGTTATGAATGTGATTAATGAATGAACTGCAGACATTACGATCGATGCACACCAACTCAAAACGATTTGACTCTTCAGCATCCATTGCATGCGGTTGAAGTTGTTATGCTCGCTAAAACGAAGGTTTGTCATTGTTACGGCACAATACATGATCACACTCGCGAACATGAACTACACAGTATTACTTGTCAAACTGCACAATCTCCTTTATCCGCGTGTGCAGTGTCCTTCACATCTATACGATCGCTTGAGTCAAATGGATTTGTGGCATCGCAAATAAAATGCGATGGCTGATGAGGCGAATGTGAATGGTGCGTTCCATCAGACCTGCCGTGAAGGCGGTAGTAATGGCGCAGAATTCAGTTATCGATACAATCGTTCGCGACAATGCAAGTCCGCCGACATTTTTTCATTTGCTCTTCGACATCCATCCACCTGCGTTTCCATCGCAAAAACGCACTTTATATCTCGACAGTAAGCTATTTTTCCACGTTGCTGTGAGCGCAGCTTCTTCGCTCTGGAACGCATAAACATCAAGCACATCAGACAATCCTGGTAGACTAGACTGCAATGCGTGGAAAAATCGATGCACCTTACCGCTGAGAGCGACACTTGAGTTACTAGAATTGTGGTAAAAGTATCTTCGGTTAGGTTTTCATAATCTGCGCGATCTCCGACGACAACAAGTCCCGATAGCTCAGCCACAGCAATGCGCAGTCGACTAATAGATGCTATCGTTATGTCCGAGTCGGACGAAGCCCTGTCGCTAGAGAAGGCAGCACAATTTTCGCGCTGTAGTTGACGCGGAAAGACAAACACCACCATGCCGACAACCAGAAGGTTGTGTGGTATACCTTCAGACTGCAAAACCTCTAACAGTGTCCACGCGATCTCTGCAACTTCAGCGCCATCTCTAGCTCCGTCCTCCGGCTCAATGACGTAACAAGTTGTTTTCCAATTCGGAAGGTGTTTCACATGCACTCCGCCAACACGAAACAAGCCCTCTCTCGTTTGGCTCGCAACGGGAAAGTTGACACTCCGCAGGTCTTCATGCTGAGGGAAGAAGTACCCATGTAGGTGAAAGTGATTTACAGACGACCAAGCTCCAGCACTGTTGAACCCTGAACGCGATAGTGAACATCAGTTAAAAAAGAGTCAGGCTAAGCTTGCCACACGTACCGAGTGCGAAGTCCTCGCGCTGCATCTCTCGGGAGATACCAAGAGCGTAGTGCATGTACTTTTTCGTCATTTTCTGCGGTTGCACGAGATCCATATCGAGCAAAAACAACACGTGGCCCCGAACCTGTTGCACATCCTCAAGCATGGTAAGCAGTAGTGAGTGACGCATACTAGCAATGATCTTCGTACCAACGGTGCCACATTAACAAGAACGAAATGCTCCACTTTCTTCGTCTTTATGTCAATCGCTCGGACAGAAGAAAGCCGCTGGTCTTCAATTGTTCCGAAACGCAGTCCACTCAGAAACTCTGCTTTCCTGCACAGAGAGGTCAGAGTTACTAAGATGTAACGAAGAAAGAAAGGGATCTCCGAAAGCTGGTCTTTGCACTCACTTGGCTAGGGTGAAGTTGAACCCCGATGTATTGCGATTGGTAAAAGTGTCCCCCATATGTACCTTCAGCAGCTGCGGGTCTACTGGTCGTTTACCCTGCACGTTGCACAACCTTTGACTGGATGTCCCGACCATTCTCCAAAGGCGATAAACTCAAGGACTTCACCTGGAAATGATTTGGATTAAACTGAACAATGAGGCCTAACTTCCCAGGGACACAACGACGCATCGTATCTTCAACATTCGTGCGTAGCATACCTGATCACAACACATGTTCAGTTGTGATTTTTTTACCCTTTAGCTTTTACTTACAGACGCACCAGTAGATGCAGTGATGTCCCATTGACACGATAGTAATTCGTCCAACCTGGACGATGACATAGGGTCGTATATGACTGCTTCGCTGCAAAATGGCGTCTTGAATGGATAGCTCATATCAGTTCAGCCAATTCATACAGTAGCAGACTACACATGCAAAAAACATTGCAAAACTAATGCCGATTTTAGTAAATAACAACCAATGTAAATATTTACCACGATGTGGCCATCTCCTTGATTTAAAATGCTCTCGTAAAGGTGCTTTTACTGGACAAGACCATGTCCGAGTAGCCACTAGCAAATGGGTATTTATGGGATACATCACAAGTGGTCAAGGGGTGATGCGACAGTGGCGAGGTAGACGCACGAGAAGTAGTTGCTGTGAAGACCTCGAATGACAATGGATGGCTTCTTTTAGTTAATCTGCCGGGTCGATGGCTGCATCGAGCAATCAAGTCGTACTCGATTACGAAATTGCTGCCTGCGGTCGTCAGGGTGATCATCATCGTCACTGACATCGGTATCGCCATAAAGTTAGGCTGTGGCCAAAGTACAACTCCTTTTCAAATGAAAAACTCGGAGAGATTGGTTAGTATGGTATCGGATTACTGCACATGATTGTAGTTTCCGCTAGAAATTATACACACCTTGGGACAGTAGCCAGCGTTCTGTTAGCCAAAGAAGTGGTTGTACCCTCAAATATATTTCAGCTCAGAGCATAGGATGTATGTAGGTATGAGTCTTTAGACTGCTCAGCAGAGATTTCAAAAAGAACTCCTAACATTGCCTGCAGACTCGCACAGGTAGGAGTCGTCCTACGACGCGTAGTTCACGAAACAAATGAGGCACCCGTATGCACGCGCACATTCAGTATTTGTGCTATTCGGCCGCTGATGTGTAAGCAGCAGTTGAGTATCTTTCATTTTTATGCGAGATTTAGGTGTGCAGATATAGTGTAGTAATGGGAATCAGGTGGAGGTTTCCTGGAGAAGCTCTTGCAGCAATGTGGTATCAATAAGGCGTGCACTTCTGTAAGTCTCCTAAGCTTAGGACCTGAACTTTAGATTCCTGATGGCCGTGCTCGTTGCCTCGCAGTGACGACGAGGTTTATTAAATTAAAGATTCCGCAGGGTTCTCAACTTAAATTACGGGATCGTGCTCGAAAAAGCACAAAGTCTAGCAGTTCCGACAGTTTATCAGTTATAGCAGAGCATCACCTCTGAAACAAGTGCTACTTCACTGCGTTGTCTACCTTAAAATAAAAAGTATTAGACAATTATTGGCCATCAATCCCCTGAATGACCCACAGCATTGATATGTCGCCGCCGTCCTCTCGTCAGCAGGATGTCGTCACCCTAACCTCCCTATTGCGCAGAAGTTTCGGCCGCTTATTGAGCATAGAGCTGCTGACATCCATGTCGCTTCTGCTGTTGCTAGGGATTGTGGGGTTCTCGGTATCTTCGAGGGTGGACACTCCGTTTCTGCGTTACTTCAGGGCCGTTCAGCCTGCTCTTGTCACAAACCTCGACTTGGTCCGAATCCTCGATGATCTCGTGGTCTTTGTAGCCATCTTGCCACCCCTAATGTGGCTGCTCCTCATGCGTCACTTCACAAGATCCTTAACGCTTACTTCTCGCACGGACGTTGCCCTGTTCCTCCTACGAGTCGCCAGTGGCTTCATCCTGAGCATCGCTCTAACCGTGCTAGTGACCGAGTGTTTCTCGAAAAGAGCTCTGCTGGCACTTGTGACTTCGTTCTATGCCTCGTTGATGCTCTTGTACTCGTGGGGTGTGAGGCTGTGGAAATGGTACCAAGACGAGGTGCGCAGCAAGGGCATTGTGACGTTCCTCCCTCAGTCCGTGCAAGAGCTACTGTTGCATACGTCGCTATTTGAATGGCTTACAGACTCGAGTTTTTCCGACAAAGTTGCACCACTTCTCGTCTTTTGCTTGCCTCTGACGAGATTGGAGCAGATCAAGTTGATGGAGCACCTGCCGCCAGAGTCTCAAGCTGTGATGACGAAGCCCGGGATGCTGTCGCTGCTGCCAGTTGCAATGCAGAAAATGTTACTGGCGGAAAACAACTGTGATGGTGTGTGTGGAAACAACTATGAAACGAAAAGGAGTCACGGCATGTTTGAGACAGGACCGGTTGGGCAGCTAAAGACGGGAAAGTGTCAGCATACACTTATGACGGAGCCGCTTAAAGCGTCAACGAGTGTATCGTTAACAAGTGCGGGATTCGATTTTCATCGACCGGATGTCGTTCGTACTGTCCACTCACCACCTTCACCAGGGCAGCTTTTAAACGAGATTATGGCATCCAGGATGCGAGACAAGTGCCAGGAGTTGGTAAAGATGCCAAGTTCGAGAACATTGGATCGCATGGCCGCAGTATCGAGTGCACTGCTGGTGATGCAGCTTTATGCGTCGCAGAGAAGTCGAAAGGTCTTCCTGACACTTGTGCAGATTGTATCTGCGTCGGCATTGAGCTCGGTTGCTTGTTGCGCGATTTTCCTACGCTTTGTCCAGCTCCTGGATGTGAGATGGAACCTCATCCGCGCGATATCGCTCCTGCATTATGTGCGGCCGTGCTTGTCGCGTCTCACAAACTCTGGGACACCGCAAATCGATAGTCAGCCCGCTCGCTCAGGTCCTGTGACGGTGCGCACGGCCGCTACTTCGGTCTCAATGGTGGTTGCTGCTCTGTACGTTCTTCGCAAGTTAAGGCGCTGATGTGGAACCGACCCTGGGCATGACTTAAACGTGGTCAAAAATGGACAAGCTTTCGCTGTGGATATTGCTGCAGCTGGACATACAATACAATGAGTCCTTGAGTGTAACGGGGTGAATCGTTACATAACAATTTATAAGAAATTGTTAATAGAATATAACTATAAGAGTTATATTCTCAGAATATTGTCATAAGGACAATATTCTGTAGCACTTCCAAGTAGTTCCTAATTGGTTGATATAGGCCATTATATCAACCAACGAAGACGCGCCACGACAGACGCACGCAATGAGTGGTGAGCAGATAACTGATTTACACATTTGTATTTAGACATAGTTAGATGAAGATAAATAGTGATTTATTGCAGACATTAACTATTATAAATACAGTTCTACTTTTACTCTAACCAAGTACTCGCTTCTTCTTACCGTCTTCCTCTGCACGTACGAGTGTACGTGAAGTTACGAGGCACCGCCTTATTCTGTTATCAGAATAAGTAGCTTGTACTGTCACCAGTACAAGCTTCAGGGTGCCCCGTTACACCTGGTAGCACTTCGTAGTCCGTCCAAGGACCGCGTTCACATCCAACATGAATATGTTGGATGATGAAGATGACCAAAGCTTTCACGCTACGCGTGACGGCTACTCCCATTTGAGCGATGTCGAATGGGATGCGGTTGAACGAATGGGTTCGACCATGGGCATCCATGCTGTTAGCGTCATGCTAGAGGCTCTCAATAGAGATGCCCAACATGCTACTATCGCCAAGTTCATTCAAAATGAACTTGACGCAGAACGCGAGAAAGTAGCCTTGCTTCACCAACAAGGTTCTCAACAAGCAGAGTTGTTGAGAGAACAAGGTGCTCAACAGTTTGAACTGTTGAGACAGCAGCAGGCTGCTGCTGGCGGGTCGATGCACTCGCGTCGGCCCGAGACTTTGAAGATTGACATCTCAAAGTATAGGGGGTCGAAGAAGACTCCCTCTTGAGATGGTTCGTCGAATTGGATGACGCCATAAGGGCGCGTCGCATCGACGACGGGGATATGCAAGTTGCATTTGCCCAGTCAAATCTGGCAGGACGTGCCAAGACTTGGGCACTGGGGCTCAAGCTGCACGACCCATACGCGTTTGGGTCGTTGGAAGTCTTCAAGTCGCGGCTCAGACAAACGTTTGAACCGCCTAGAGCTGAGTTCAGAGCTCGAACCGAACTCTTGAAGCTCAAGCAGGGTAAGCGTGATGTGCACGCTTACGCTCAACATATACGACATCTCACGAGTTGTATAAGTTCCAATCCGGTGGATGAACACACGTTGGTTTCGGTGTTCATGCAGGGTCTTGCGGATGGTCCCGTCAAGACTCACCTGTTCCGGCTTGAACTAGATTCACTAGAACAAGCCATTTCCATTGCGGAGCAGGAAGACTTCAGTCTGAGACAGGCTCGCGCCAGCTCGACATCATATCGTCAACCGAGACGATATGACAACGGAGGTCCAGAGCCGATGGAACTCTGTTATGTAGAGAGCGAGAAGGCTCGCTCTACAGGCTACAAGAAGTTGCAGAGATGCAACAGATGTCAAAAGACAGGACACTACGCTTACGAGTGTAGTGCCCCTCGTCCAGTGTCTCGCGACACTGGGCGTAGTGACCGTCCACCCATGAGAAAGGGGCAGGGACGAGGGTCCGCAGTTGGTGCAAAGACGCAACAACGGGATGGACCGTCAAAAAACGGACAGGATCAGTAGGTGCGGAGCACCCTACTGGTCCAGCAACGTCAAGAGAATTTGTAGGCCTCTTGATGAAGGTTGCTCCCAACACACAAACGTTGTGCGTTGCTGCTCTAGGTAATGAGATCTCACTCATTACCTTGAAACTCGAAGTGACGAATAAGTTGTCCCTTCGAGCTCTAGTCGATTGTGGGGCGTCCAACAATTTTGTGCGACGCCAATCGCTAGAAGATGGTCACTTTAAGCTCAGTGAATGTGACACACCTCCTACGAGGATGACGGTACGTCTTGCGACAGGCGCATCCGTAACCGTCATGAAGCGTATAGTGAAGATTCACTATACGCTAGAAGATACCCAATACGACGATGACGTTATCGTATTGGATTTGGATGAAAAATTTGATGTCATCCTTGGAATACCGTGGCTCAGAAGGTACGAACCACGGGTAAACTGGCAACATCGGACAGTAACGATGCCTGCCGCTTGTTCATCAGATGGCCATCTGATGAACGTTTTGAGGCGTCCACAAGCGTGTGGATGTACTACGAGTGAGTGCGATGGCCTCACTTGTGGTACGGTCGTTAGTACGACTGCACAAAACCTTAGTGTACCAAACGGTTACACTTCGGAGCAAAGTTCCGGCGGCTGTGAGGAAACACAGGCTGCGCCGAAGGTCCACCACTCGAATAAGTCGGGTGGACTGGGACAAAGATGTATCCCTAGCGGGGAACATCTAGAAGAGAAACAATCGATCGCTCAGGTTAAGCGAAACGATAATCCTAGATCGACTGGAGAGTCTTTCGTAGAGGATCTCGCTGTGGTTGCGCAACCCCAGCTAGAGGAAGTAAAGGGAATAAGTCCCAAGATTACAAATACGGCGGAAATAAGTTCCCCGAAACCCGCGGGAATAAGTCCCCGGGAAGACGAAGGAATAAGTCCTTCGAAGCCTGAGGGAATAAGTCCCCAGGAAATGACAGAGACATTGAATGTCATAGTCAATAACGGATCAAGTGTAGGCGCTTATACACTTGATCTGATTGCGCCTCCGAAGTTAACTTCGGAGATCACTCAGTTGCCAACGCTCGAACATAAAAGATTCTTGCGTGATCTGCGTAGTGGCAAAGTCAAGCAGATCTGCGTACTCGTCGCTGAAGACGAGTATGTAACCGACATAAGGTCAGCAACAGTGTTTACTGAGAACGAGAGAGTTCTCAGTAGTTCATCTATGGACGAGAGTGTCCTAGATGAAAAGACACGAATTGAGCGATATGAGTCCCAATCATGGGAATCGCTCAAGGAAAATCCTCTCTATGAAGATTTGGTTGAATTCAAGGATGTATTCCCTGAAACTGTTCCGTGCGAATTACCGAAGGATAAAGGTATTCGACACGAAGTCGAGCTTAAACCAGGCTCGAAGTACTGTGTCATGAAGCAGTGGCCACTGCTTCGTGAACAAGTACTTGCGATCGACAAGTTCTTTGCCGATCGTTTAGCAGCGGGCCATGTGAGGGAATCAACTTCCCCACATAGCTCTCCGACCTTCTGTGTGCGAAAAGCAACAGGAGGGTGGCGGATAGTGCACGCGTTCAACAAATTGAACGCTGCAACGGTACCGGCTCAGACGCCGATACCGAGGAAGGACGTAATCATTGATGGTATGTCAAAGAGTACCATCTTTTCGTCCAAGGATTTGATGGATAGTTTCTATCAAATCCTTATGCGAGAACGGGATATACCCTATACCGCAGTTAGCACGCCTAGCGGCATGCTCTGGGAATGGCTAGTAATGCCACAAGGGCTTAGAAATGCCCCTGCCACGTTCAACAGATGTGTATCACATCTGTTGAGACCAGTACGAGAATTCGCGCCGAGTTATTTCGATGACGTATTCATCCATAGTCGAGCTATGGATGGAAAGTCGGACGTTGAGGTTCACAGGTACCACGTCCGACAAGTTCTTACAATCATGCGAAAGCATCAATTGTATGCTAACCTCAAGAAGTGTATATTTGCGGCAAGCGAAATACCACTTCTTGGGTGCATCGTTGGTAAGAACGGTGTACGTCCTGATCCCGAAAAGATCAAGGCGATCACCGACTGGCCTGTCCTGATTGATGTCAAAGGTCTTCGAAAATTCCTTGGGCTAGCGGCGTATTTGCATAAGTATTCACGCAATTACGCCGAGATGACTGTACACCTCTCTCGTTTGTTGAAAAAGAACGAGAGGTGAGTATGGAACGCTGAATGTCAACGCTCCTTTGAGGGTATCAAGCAGAGCTTGATACAATCCCCAGTCCTAGCAATAGCCGATCAGGACAGGCCATTTCATGTGGTCTGTGATGCCAGCGATTTCGCAATCGGCTGTGCATTAATGCAGTACGACCTTGAAGGCGTTGAACGCGTCGTCTGCTATCAGTCGCGTCAGCTGCAACCAGCTGAGCGGAACTATCCAGTGCATGACAAGGAACTCCTTGCCATGAAGTATGCACTCGCGAAGTTCAGAGTCTATCTATTAGGAGATAGACCCTTCGTTGTTTACACTGACCATGCGTCCTTACGCACGGCAGTGAACAGCCCGCACCTTTCACAACGAATGGCGCGGTGGTTGTCATTCTTTGCAGAATACAACTTTACGGTCGAGTACAAACCAGGACGACTTAATGTCGTCGCTGATGCACTCTCACGTCGTCCCGACTTTGAAACAGTCGCGAAACCCAACAGTGAGACAGTCACTGTTGCGGTTATGACGTCCTCAGTTCCATCTACAACGTTGTATGATGATGTGAGGCGGGCATACGCCCAAGATGGTGAGATAGTGAAGTTGTTGTCACATCTCTCCCAACCATCTCGAGAATCGTTGAAACGATTGTCGTCTGCGTATCGATCTGCATCAGATCGATACACTACTCGTAACGGTTTACTGTACTATACAGCCGTTTCTGGTGACACACCACGTGTTGTCATTCCAGATGATACTGATCTGCGTTTGCGGATCATGTTCGAGTATCACGATGCTCCTATAGGAGGACATCGTGGCCGAGAGAAAACATATCTCACGGTAAGTCGAGACTTTTACTGGCCCCGCCAGTATCAGTTTGTGCGAGAGTATGTTCGCGCATGCGAAGTCTGTCAACGAGTGAAGTCAAGTCCTTCACTGCGTGCACCTTTACAGCCTTTACCGGTTCTGGCTGAGCGCTGGGAATCCATCTCAATGGATTTCGTCTTCGGGTTACCCAAAGACGCTTGCGGGAATACGGGTATTCTCGTATTTGTTGACAGATTCAGCAAAATGGTACACCTTGTGGCTGTACCAGAGACAATCACGGCAAGTGGATGTGTTTGTGTCTTTATCGACACCATCTTCCGACTTCATGGGTTGCCCCGTGAACTCGTATCAGACAGAGATCCACGATTAACTACAAATTTCTGGCGTTCCGTGTTCAAATCACTCGGAACGCTCTTGAAGATGTCGACATCTAATCATCCAGAGTCAGATGGTCAGACGGAACGTGCCAATCGTGTCCTCGAAGAGATACTTCGAGGATACGTACACTTCTTTAAGAGTTGGAGTGAGTTTTTGCCAATGGTAGAGTTTGCCATTAACAACTCGGTGCATGCGTCCACGACACATACACCGTTTTACGTGAATGGCTTACGCCATCCGCGTGTACCCACCTTACTTGAGTGTAACTACGGTTTAAGGGGGGGGACTCGCGCGAGCAAAAACCGATTTGTTTCACGCTCATCACGCTCTGACGAAGAGGTCATTGCGTTTGATGCCGATATCGACAACATTGATATCGAAGAAGATGATGATGCCAGTGAGAGCGCGGAAGCCCTTACTGAAGAAAAGGTTGATGTTGCTGCAGTGCACTCACCGCGCACTGAAGCTAACGAGTCATCAGATGAATTCATTCTGTATCGTGAAACGGTAGTCCGTTTTGTGCAAGATTCCATCGCCGAAGCGGTGGATAAGCAAAAGCAAAACGCTGACAAGAATGGAAGGGCAAACAATCTTTTATTTAATAAAGGTAACTTAGTTCTACTGTCTACGGTTAATCTACCAAAGCATGTAGTGACTAACTTGGGTAGTAGTAAACTACTACCCAAGTACATCGGCCCATTTCGTATATTGCACCGCCTAGGCAATGCATACACGATCGAGTTGCCACGTAAGATGCGAGCGCATCCCACGTTTTACGTTGGTCGTCTTAAGCCGTACCATCAGTACGCTGCTCCTTCCGATGAATAACGACCTTGCGCTCAAGCATCTCGCAGAGAGCCTTGTGCTCCCGATGGTGGGCATCAACAAGGGTCTGAAGAGCAGTTATCTCAGCCCGAGACCGATCAACAATCCCACGAGCTACCCTTAGCTCGTCACGCAGAGATGTAAAATCTCTCTCGTTCTCAAGCTGAGCAAAGGCAAACTCAGCTCGATGCTTCGAGGCAGTGTCCACCATCTGGAGACGCCTATTCCGCTCATGCTCGAGATCGTCGCGTAACCCTTGCGTTACGCGATCAAAGAAGCTCTCGGGAACACACCGATCCACATGATCGTGTGGAGAGCGTCTTTCCTCCTCCTCCACCTCCATTAGAGGACTCTCGCGGTGGCCAGCGCTATCTAGTAGAGCAGCTGTTGAACCACCGCGACGTGAACGGACGTCGGACGAGTTACCTCGTCCGGTGGCGCGGCTATCCCCCGTCCTGGGATTCTTGGGAGCCCCGCTCCCAATTGATGGTTGACGTACTGGGTCTGGTCGAGCAGTACGACGCGACACATCCTGTGCCGCAGAAGGACCGCCGGAGAAAGTCTTCCCGGCACGGTCGTAAAGGGATTTCAGGTTGTCAATCCCTTCGTACATCTCAGTAGAGACACGTACGCGCCACCACGGGCTGGTAAGGAGGTAAGCCTCCTTAGGTGCTCGTGCAGAGTTGTTCACACAACATGGGCACGAGTCTCCCCAAGAGAGGCAGGGTAATCCTTTCTCCCTTGACAGACGATGCAGCTTGTAGCGTGCACCTGTCGGGGTTCGCTTTTCAAACTTATCACGAGCTTTGATAAGTTTGTCGTTCCAAGCGTCACGACCTACATCCTCGAGATTATGGATGTAGGCGTTCCACGCCTGAAGTAGTGAGGGACCATCACGTTTGTGATTCCCACTGTACCATCGATGTCTGAAGAAAGCATCGATGAAGAACTCATGTTCAGCGCGATAGTCTTTCGCGCTGGGGTCAAGGTGATGGATCCTTGACGAATCGAACAATCGTGTTCGATAACGATCACTCGTCGTCACCGACAAGTGATCCATGACGGATTTAGGAGGCATCCATGCTATCTTTTCTGGAGCGAGACGCAACACATTGCGGTCCCGCTCTTCCTGCGACGTGCCGACAGAAGTACTGGCACCTCGCTGCGAAGTGGTGTCCATTGGAGAACCGACACCACTATTAGCGCCCGAGTCTCGCGACCTCGAGCGCCTTCGCTTCGGCGATGGTTCATCTGACTCATCAGATGAACCAAAGATGCTGCGACGCAAAGCATCGTCCATGCCACGCTTGGCAGGCGGCTTGGATTCAATTGCCGTCGATACGGATCCGTCATCCGTATCAGGAGAGTACGAGACACCGAGCTCGTACTCTGTGAAGACACGAGTGTCTTCATGACCAGCGCCTGCATCACCAGGTGATACAGGCTGAGTCGATTCAGCAACCGATGGGATATCAGTTGCTGTAGTTTCTGCTTCGGCGTCCGCACAGAGACGTGCAGACGCGCTCTCGGCGGCCTTGATCGCGCATCGCATGGGCTTGTTAACCATGCGATGAGATGTTGGAAAGTGGACGCGGACCAACAAGTGCAAACCCCGTCCCAAATGATTTGGGACGAGTATCCATTTAGTCAATCAGTCACTAAAGTGACTGATGGTTAAGGGGGTGATGTAACGGGGTGAATCGTTACATAACAATTTATAAGAAATTGTTAATAGAATATAACTATAAGAGTTATATTCTCAGAATATTGTCATAAGGACAATATTCTGTAGCACTTCCAAGTAGTTCCTAATTGGTTGATATAGGCCATTATATCAACCAACGAAGACGCGCCACGACAGACGCACGCAATGAGTGGTGAGCAGATAACTGATTTACACATTTGTATTTAGACATAGTTAGATGAAGATAAATAGTGATTTATTGCAGACATTAACTATTATAAATACAGTTCTACTTTTTACTCTAACCAAGTACTCGCTTCTTCTTACCGTCTTCCTCTGCACGTACGAGTGTACGTGAAGTTACGAGGCACCGCCTTATTCTGTTATCAGAATAAGTAGCTTGTACTGTCACCAGTACAAGCTTCAGGGTGCCCCGTTACATTGAGCGTGCAATGTCCAGCCGAACAGGGAGCGATCCAACTGCTAACGTCAAGGTGGCTACGAGTAAAGTCATCTGTTCCGAGATGGTCAGCGTTCCAAATGTCGTTCACAATAGGCAAGCTCTATCGTTGATCGGGAAGAACGATTACACAAAGACGTCAAGTGCACAGTACAAGACACTGGGTTCATGTTCGTTGACAAACATACGCAACGGGTTACAAGTGTCCACGCCATCGACGTTAAGTATGTTTGCTTTTTCGTTGGCAAACGAATTAAGGACTGTTATCTCACTTCGACAAGTGACATTGCGCACATGATTGCAGTCGTCAGTGTCGTATACGAACTGAGTCGCGCTATAAAAAACTACACACAGAGGTCTGCTGTTTAGTTGTGGTACGGATGAGAATTCGACGACGTATGAAATCAGGCGAGAAGTTGCGCCTTGACAATCTATCAACCGCTGGTGGCAATATTTATTTTGGTGACATCCCACTGAGTTGCGTTTTGGACTGCGACAGCGTCAACGTTAAAAAAAGACGCAAAAAAAAAGATATTTCCTATCTATTTTAGACGCAAGTAACTTGATGGCAAACAAAACGAACTCATTGCGTATCCTCTACAAGCAAGTCCTACAATACGAACGTCAATCGACGTGACACCTCGTGTCTATGGGTCCCGTATTCGATTGATCGTATTCGACATCGTAGCACGTACTTAAAGTTGCATGTGGCATGAGTTAATAGTAGAAATGCGTTATTTCCATCACCGAGATATTGACGCTTTAAGCGATGTGAACAGATCTAGTGGCAGGAGTATTCACATTGTCGCGTCTCACCAGAAATAATGGACTTCTCGTCAGTCGAAATGGGTTTCTTAGTATCTGACGCCGAACGAAGTGAATCCTTATAAGCAGCAGAGAGTGGATTGCGAGACAATGTTGACCTATCAGCGGCTGCGAGATTGGTTGAAAGATCGTAGGTGTAAGCAGATAGATCCTTGACTCTACGCGGAAGAGCAGCTGCCGTGCTCTTGACTTTACTGGTACCGGCTTCATTTGCAGAAATAATTGCGGTAATGGGACGAGAGGCTTACAGATTTGTGGATGCGTACTCGGAAACATTTTGAAGACCATAGCAACATCCTCCTTGACGGCTGCACCCGAGACGCAGCAATATCACTAGATGCCGCATTCATGATACCATTGTCGAAAACAGCAGCTTTATCCTTAGCTTGACTCGACAAGTTACCGGGACAGGTGCAGTTACAGCGTCATAATGAACCGTGCCGTCAAGCGTGTACGGCTCCAAGATCTCCTTTGTGCATGTCCATCTTGATATTGTGCTTGGTAGTATCGCGCATTCGGTATAACCTTGAAGTCCTCCGCCGTTGAAGTCGATTTCGCCTTGTGTTCGAGTCTCGTTATTAACACCGCGATCTTGGACTTGGCAGGTTCAGGCAGCTTGTCCATACAAAAGTTAGCACCGACACCGGGAGCTTTTCATGGCGTGCCAGTTGCGTTGCAGCGAGGGTCGAGACTGAGTCTTTGGCACGCCCGAACGATTGCCTAAACTTTGTGCTGAACAATCTCGCTCCTTCAGCTACAAGTGAAGTAGTGCCACCTCTCTCCTCCTCCAAATCTCCATCCGAAGTAACAATGACTTTCAAAGTCATCTGCTCATCTGCATTATTGAAGAGGCCATTCGTCTCGCGATTGACGAAAGAGGCGTCATCCTTGAGAACGGGCTTTGAGTCGACAGCACTCGGGAATGCATCGCTGGAAGCGAATACAGCAGCCAGAACAGCCATTGCGAGATACGGTATACGCATGGTTTGTGGTGTGATGTTGGTACAGGTTAAGGAAGGGGTGATGTAACGGGGTGAATCGTTACATAACAATTTATAAGAAATTGTTAATAGAATATAACTATAAGAGTTATATTCTCAGAATTTTGTCATAAGGACAAATATTCTGCAGCACTTACGAGTAGTTCCTAATTGGTTGATATAGGCCATTATATCAACCAACGAAGACGCGCCACGACAGACGCACGCAACGAGTGGTGAGCAGATAGTTGATGTACACATTTGTATTTAGACATAGTTAGATGAGGATAAATAGGGGGTTTATTACAGACATTAACTATTATAAATACAGTTCTACTGTTTACTTTAACCAAGTACTCGCTTCTTCTTACCGTCTTCCTCTGCACGTACCAGTGTACGTGAAGTTACGAGGCACCGCCTTATTCTGTCGTCAGAATAAGTAGCTTGTACTGTTACCAGTACAAGCTTCAAAGTGCCCCGTTGCACCTGGTAGCACTTCGTAGTCCGTCCAAGGACCACGTTCACATCTAACATGAATATGTTGGATGATGAAGATGACCAAAGCTTTCACGCTACGCGTGACGGCTACTCCCATTTGAGCGATGTCGAATGGGATGCGGTTGAACGAATGGGTTCGACCATGGGCATCCATGCTGTTAGCGTCATGCTAGAGGCTCTCAATAGAAATGCCCAACATGCTACTATCGCCAAGTTCATTCAAAATGAACTTAACGCTGAACGCGAGAAAGTAGCCTTGCTTCACCAACAAGGTTCTCAACAATCAGAGTTGGAGAGAGAACAGGGTGCTCAACAGTTTGAACTGTTGAGACAGCAGCAGGCTGCTGCTGGTGGGTCGATGCACTCGCGTCGACCCGAGACTTTGAAGATTGACATCTCTAAGTATAGGGGAGTCGAAGAGGACTCCCCCTTGAGATGGTTCGTCGAATTAGACGACGCCATAAGGGCGCGTCGCATCGACGACGGGGGTATGCAAGTTGCATTTGCCCAGTCAAATCTGGTAGGAAGTGCCAAGACTTGGGCACTGGGGCTCAAGTTGCACGACCCATATGCGTTTTGGTCGTTGGAAGTCTTCAAGTCGCGGCTCAGACAAACGTTTGAACCGCCTAGAGCTGAGTTCAGAGCTCGAACTGAACTCTTGAAGCTCAAGCAGGGTAAGCGTGATGTGCACGCTTACGCGCAACATATACGACATCTCACGAGTTGTATAAGTTCCAATCCGGTTGATGAACACGCGTTGGTTTCGGTGTTCATGCAGGGTCTTGCGGATGGTCCCGTCAAGACTCACCTGTTCCGGCTTGAACTAGATTCACTAGAACAAGCCATTTCCATTGCGGAACAGGAAGACTTCAGTCTGAGACAGGCTCGCGCCAGCTCGACATCATATCGTCAACCGAGACGATTTGACAACGGAGGTCCAGAGTCGATGGAACTCTGTTATGTAGAGAGCGAGAAGGCTCGCTCTACAGACTACAAGAAGTTGCAGAAATGCAACAGATGTCAGAAGACAGGACACTACGCTTGCGAGTGTAGTGCCCCTAGTCCAGTGTCTCGCAACACTGGGCGTAGTGACCGTCCACCCATGAGAAAGGGGCAGAGACGCGGGTCCGTTGTTGGTGCAAAGACGCAACAACGGGATGGACCGTCAAAAAACGGACAGGATCAGTAGGTGCGGAGCACCCTACTGGTCCAGCAACATCAATAGAATTTGTAGGCCTCTTGATGAAGGTTGCTCCCAATACACAAACGTTGTGCGTTGCTGCTCTAGGTAATGAGATCACACTCATTACCTTGAAACTCGAAGTGACAAATAAGTTGTCCCTTCGAGCTCTAGTCGATTGTGGGGCGTCCAACAATTTTGTGCAACGCCAATCGCTAGAAGATGGTCACTTTAAGCTCAGTGAATGTGACACACCTCCTACGAGGATGACGGTACGTCTTGCGACAGGCGCATCCGTAACCGTCATGAAGCGTATAGTGAAGATCCACTATACGCTGGAAGATACCCAATATGATGATGAATTTATCGTATTGGATTTGGATGAAAAATTTGATGCAATCCTTGGAATACCGTGGCTCAGAAGGTACGAACCACGGGTAAACTGGCAACATCGAACAGTAACGATGCCTGCCGCTTGTCCATCAGATAGCCATCTGATGAACGTTTTGGAGCGTCCACAAGCGTGTGGATGTACTACGAGTGAGTGCGATGGCCTCACTTGTGGTACGGTCGTTAGTACGACTGCACAAAACCTTAGTGTACCAAACGGTTACACTTCGGAGCAAAGTTCCGGCGGCTGTGAGGAAACACAGACTGCGCCGAAGGTCCACCACTCGAATAAGTCGGGTGGACTGGGACAAAGATGTATCCCTAGCGGGGAACATCTTGAAGAGAAACAATCGATCGCTCAGGTTAAGCGAAACGATAATCCTAGATCGACTGGAGAGTCTTTCGTGGAGGATCTCGCTGTGGTTGCGCAACCCCAGCTAGAGGAAGTAAAGGGAATAAGTCCCAAGATTACAAATACGGCAGAAATAAGTTCCCCGAAACCCGCGGGAATAAGTCCCCGGGAAGCCGAAGGAATAAGTCCTTCGAGGCCTGAGGGAATAAGTCCCCAGGAAATGACAGAGACATTGAATGTCATAGTCAATAACGGATCAAGTGTAGGTGCTTATACACTTGATCTGATTGCGCCTCCAAAGTTAACTTCGGAGATCACTCAGTTGCCAACGCTCGAACGCAAAAGGTTCTTGCGTGATCTGCGTAGTGGCAAAGTCAAGCAGATTTGCGTACTCGTCGCTGACGACGAGTGTGCAGCCGACATAAGGTCAGCAACACTGTTCACTGAGAACGAGATAGTTCTCAGTAGTTCATCAATGGACGAGAGTGTCCTAGATGAAAAGACACGAGTTGAGCGATATGACTCCCAATCGTGGGAATCGCTCAAGACAAATCCTCTATATGAAGATTTGGTTGAATTTAAGGATGTATTCCCTGAAACTGTTCCGTGCGAGTTACCGAAGGATAAAGGTACTCGGCACGAGGTCGAGCTTGAACCAGGCTCGAAGTACTGTATCATGAAGCAGTGGCCACTGCCTCGTGAACAAGTACTTGCGATCGACAAGTTCTTTGCCGATCGTTTAGCTGCGGGCCATGTGAGGGAATTAACTTCCCCACATAGCTCTTCGACCTTCTGTGTGCGAAAAGCAACAGGAGGGTGGTGGATAGTGCATGCATTTAACAAGTTGAATGCTGTACCGGTTCCGGCTCAGACGCCAAAACCAAGGAAGGACGTAATCATTGATGGTATGTCAAAGAGTACCATCTTTTTGTCCATGGATTTGATGGATAGTTTCTATCAAATCCTTATGCGAGAACGGGATATACCCTATACCGCAGTTAGCACGCCTAGCGGCATGCTCTGGGAGTGGCTAGTAATGCAACAAGGGCTTAGTAATGCCCTTGCCACGTTCATTAGATGTGTATCACATCTGTTGAGACCAGTACGAGAATTCGCGCCGAGTTATTTCAATGACGTATTCATCCATTGTCGGGCTATGGATGGAAAGTCGGATGTTGAGGTTCACAGGTACCACGTCCGACAGGTTCTTACAATCATGCGAAAGCATCAATTGTATGCAAATATCAAGAAGTGCATATTCGCAGCAAGCGAAATACCACTTCTTGGGTGAATCGTTGGTAAGAACGGTGTACGTCCTGATCCCGAAAAGATCAAGGCGATCACCGACTGGCCTGTGCCGATTGATGTCAAAGGTCTTCGAAAATTCCTTGGGCTAGCGGCGTATTTGCATAAGTATTCACGCAATTACGCCGAGATGACTGTACACCTCTCTCGTTTGTTGAAAAAGAACGAGAGGTGGTTATGGAACGCTGAATGTCAGCGCTCCTTTGATGGCATCAAGCAGAGCTTGATACAATCCCCAGTCCTAGCAATAGCCGATCAGGACAGGCCATTTCATGTGGTCTGTGATGCCAGCGATTTTGCAATCGGCTGCGCATTAATGCAGTACGATCTTGAAGGCTATGAACGCGTCGTCTGCTATCAGTCGCGTCAGCTGCAACCAGCTGAGCGGAACTATCCAGTGCATGACAAGGAAATCCTTGCCATGAAGTATGCACTCGCGAAGTTCAGAGTCTATCTATTAGGAGATAGACCCTTCATTGTTTACACTGACCATGCGTCATTACGCACAACAGTGAACAGCCCGCACCTTTCACAACGAATGGCGAAGTGGTTGTCAGTCTTTGCAGAATACAACTTTACGGTCGAGTACAAACCAGGACGACTTAATGTCGTCGCTGATGCACTCTCACGTCGTCCCGACTTTGGACCAGTCGTGAAACCCAACAGTGAGACAGCCACTGTTGCGGTTATGACGTCCTCAGTTCCATCTACAACGTTGTATGATGATGTGAGGCGGGCATACGCCCAAGATGGTGAGATAGTGAAGTTGTTGTCACATCTCTCCCAACCATCTCGAGAATCGTTGAAACGATTGTCGTCTGCGTATCGATCTGCATCAGATCGATACACTACTCGTAACGGTTTACTGTACTATACAGCCGTTTCTGGTGACACACCACGTGTTGTCATTCCAGATGATACTGATCTGCGTTTGCGGATCATGTTCGAGTATCACGATGCTCCTGTAGGAGGACATCGTGGCCGGGAGAAGACATATGGCACGGTGAGTCGAGACTTTTACTGGCCCCGCCAGTATCAGTTTGTGCGAAAGTATGTTCGCGCATGCGAAGTCTGTCAACGAGTGAAGTCAAGTCCTTCACTGCGTGCACCTTTACAGCCTTTACCGGTTCTGGCTGAGTGCTGGGAATCCATCTCAATGGATTTCGTCTTCGGGTTACCCAAAGACGCACGCGGGAATACGGGTATTCTCGTATTTGTTGACAGATTCAGCAAAATGGTACACCTTGTGGCTGTACCAGAGACAATCACGGCAAGTGGATGTGTTTGTGTCTTTATCGACACCATCTTCCGACTTCATGGGTTGCCCCGTGAACTCGTATCAGACAGAGATCCACGATTAACTACAAATTTCTGGCGTTCCGTGTTCAAATCACTCGGAACGCGCTTGAAGATGTCGACATCTAATCATCCAGAGTCAGCTGGTCAGACGGAACGTGCCAATCGTGTCCTCGAAGAGATACTTCGAGGATACGTACACTCCTTTAAGAGTTGGAGTGAGTTCTTGCCAATGGTAGAGTTTGCCATTAACAACTCGGTGCATGCGTCCACGACCCATACACCGTTCTACGTGAATGGCTTACGCCATCCGCGTGTACCCACCTTACTAGAGTGTAACTCTGGTTTAAGGGGGGGAGACTCGCGCGAGCAAATACCGATTTGGTTCACGCTCATCACGCTCTGACGATGAGGTCATTGCGTTTGATGCCGATATCGACAACATCGATATCGAAGAAGATGATGATGCCAGTGAGAGCGCAGAAGCCCTCACTGAAGAAAAGTTTGATGTTGCTGAAGTGCGCTCACAGCGCACTGAAGCTAACGAGTTATCTGATGAAATCATACTGGCTCGTGAAACGGTAGTCCGTTTTGTGCAAGACTCCATTGACGAAGCGGTGGATAAGCAAAAGCAAAACGCAGACAAGAATGGAAGGGCAAACGCTCTTTTATTTAATTAAGGTGACTTAGTCCTACTGTCTACGGTTAATCTACCAAAACATGTAGTGACTAACTTGGGTAGTAGTTTACTACTACCCAAGTACATCGGCCCATTTCGTGTATTTCATCGCCTAGGCAATGCATACACGATCGAGTTGCCACGTAAGATGCGAACGCATCCCACGTTTTACGTCGGTCGTCTTAAGCCGTACCATCAGTACGCTATTCCTTACGATGAAGAACGCCCTTGCGTTCAAGCATCTCACAGAGAGCCTTGTGCTCCCGATGGTGGATACCAACAGGGGTTGGAAGAGCAGTTATCTCAGCCCGAGACCGATCAACAATTCCACGAGCTACCCTTAGCTCGTCACGCAGAGATGTAAAATCTCTCTCGTTCTCAAGCTGAGAAAAGGCGGACTCAGCTCGATGCTTCAAGACAGTGTCTGCCATTTGGAGACGCCTGTCCCGCTCATGTTCGAGATCGCCGCGTAACCCTTGCTTTACGCAATCAAAGAAGCTCTCGGATACACACGCTCCCCCACGATAGTTTGGAGATCGTTTTCCCTCCTCCTCCACCTCCATTAGAGGACTCTCGCGGTGGCCAGCGCTATCTAGTTGAGCAGCTGTTGAACCACCGCGATGTGAACGGACGTCGGGCGAGTTACCTCTTCCGGTGGCGCGGCTATCCCCCGTCCTGGGATTCTTGGAAGCCCCGCTCCCAACTGATGGTTGACGTACTGGGTCTGGTTGAGCAGTACGACGCGGCACATCCTGTGCCGCAGAAGGACCGCCGGAGAAAGTCTTCCCGGCACGGTCGTAAATGGATTTCAGGTTGTCAATCCCTTCGTACATCTCACTAGAGATACGTACGCGCCACCACGGGCTATTAGGGAGGTAAGCCTCCATAGGTGCTCGCGCAGAGTTGTTCACACAACAAGGGCACGGGTCTCTCCAAGAGAGGCTTGGTAATCCTTTCTCCCTTGACAGACGATGCAGCTTGTAGCGTGCACCTGTCGGGGTTCGCTTTTCAAACTTATCAGGAGCTTTAATAAGTTTGTCGTTCCAAACGTCACGACCTACATCCTCAAGGTTATGGATGTAAGCGTTCCACGCTCGAAGCAGTGAGGGACCATCACGTTTGTGATTCCCACTGGACCATCGATGTCTAAAGAAAGCATCGATGAAGAATTCATTCTCAGCGCGATAGTTTTTCGCGCTGGGGTCAAGGTGATGGATCCTCAATGAATCGAACAATCGTGTTCTATAGCGATCACTTGCCTTCGCCGACAAGCGATCCATGACTGACTTTGGAGGCAGCCGTGCTATCTTTTCGGGAGCGAGACGCAACACACTGCGGTCCCGCTCTTCCTGCGGTGTGCCGACAGAAGTACTGGCACCTCGTTGCGAAGTGGTGTCCATAGAAGAACCGACAGCACTGTTAGCGCCCGAGTCTCGCGACCTCAAGCGCCTTCGCTTCGGCGATGGTTCATCTGGTTCATCAGATGAACCAAAGATGCTACGACGCATAGCATCATCCATGCCACGCTTGGCAGGCGGCTTGGATTCGATCGCCGTCGATACGGATCCGTCATCCGTATCAGGAGAGTATGAGACACCGAGCTCGTACTCTGTGAAGACACGTGTGTCTTCATGACCAGCGCCTGCATCACCAAGTGACACAGGCTGAGTCGCTTCAGCAACCGATGAGACATCAGTTGCTGTGATTTCTGCTTCGGCGTCCGCACAGAGACGTGCGGACGCGCTCTCGGCGGCCTTGCTCGCGCATCGCATGGGCTTGTTAACCATGCGATGAAATGTTGGAAAGTGGACGCGGACCAACAAGTGCAAACCCTGTCCCAACTGATTTGGGACGAGTATCCATTTAGTCAATCAGTCACTAAAGTGACTGATGGTTAGGGGGGGGTGATGTAACGGGGTGAATCGTTACATAACAATTTATAAGAAATTGTTAATAGAATATAACTATAAGAGTTATATTCTCAGAATATTGTCATAAGGACAAATATTCTGTAGCACTTACGAGTAGTTCCTAATTGGTTGATATAGGCCATTATATCAACCAACGAAGACGCGCCACGACAGACGCACGCAATGAGTGGTGAGCAGATAGTTGATTTACACATTTGTATTTAGACATAGTTAGATGAAGATAAATAGTGATTTATTGCAGACATTAACTATACTAAATACGGTTCTACTGTTTACTTTAACCAAGTACTCGCTTCTTCTTACCGTCTTCCCCTGCACGTACCAGTGAACGCGAAGTTCCGAGGCACCGCCTTATTCTGTCGTCAGAATAAGTAGCTTGTACCGTCATCATTACAAGCTTCAGGGTGCCCCGTTACAATTTACGTACGCACACAAAATATGTACGTATTTTACAAAGGACTTTGCGATGGCAAATTGGAGACCAGAGGGTGTCGCGGATAGTGATGGGGACGTTAAGACTACGACAACGACAGCAAAAATGACTTTATCGACCGTGACGATCAAGAAAACGAAGAAACGATCACAAAAGTGGTTACTTTGACAACGAAGACTAAGATACCAAAAACGATGATCGAATGGTAATGAGTATTGCTCGGGCAATTCCCAAATCCACCCACCAACTTTTCGTCGCACCAAGCTCACCAACCCGTTCACCATTGCATGATGATATCTTTGGTATTAACCTAATTTTCATGAGAACGATGCGACTCACCTCCGCACCTCGCAGCGAACAAACTCGTAATCTAGAGTTACGGCGGTCTACATTTCCTTTCAACTCGAGCTAATAAGAAGCCTTTCATTCATTTTATTATGTTCAATTCTGCAGTAGTTTTAGCTGGATTCGTTATAGTCATTGTCCGATACAGATTGACTTCTGCTGCCCTCTTCCCGAGTACATTGTCGATAAGCATTAGCAATTTGCCTGTAAATGATGTTAAGCTACTGGTAAAAATGAGTGACCATCAGTGTTCGGCAGTCGCGCACTAGCCGCCAGATTGGACAGAATCCTGTAATATGTGTTAACGCTGCTTCATGTGCTGATTTTTAGCTTTGTAGAGAATGCGATTCAGCCCCTTCCTAAACACACCTACGCATGAGGAGATTACGGACATTCACTGTAGGACGCATTTCGCAATAGAGCCATGGCTTCAGAGCTCCTGTTGATGGTCCATGAGCTCGATTCAAATTTGTCCTGCTAAATCTGACGACTGATTTATGGCTGAGTAGCTACGGGGCTGGCCATTTATTTTTGAAAATCACCTCATTCTCCAAACTCACGGCTCATACAACCAACTCCAGACCACCTTTGTAACGGGGCACCCTGAAGCTTGTACTGGTGACGGTACAAGCTACTTATTCTGACGACAGAATAAGGCGGTGCCTCGTAACTTCACGTACACTGGTACGTGCAGAGGAAGACGGTAAGAAGAAGCGAGTACTTGGTTAAAGTAAAAAGTAGAACCGTATTTATAATAGTTAATGTCTGTAATAAACCCCCTATTTATCCTCATCTAACTATGTCTAAATACAAATGTGTACATCAACTATCTGCTCACCACTCGTTGCGTGCGTCTGTCGTGGCGCGTCTTCGTTGGATGATATAATGGCCTATATCAACCAATTAGGAACTACTCGTAAGTGCTGCAGAATAATTGTCCTTATGACAATATTCTGAGAATATAACTCTTATAGTTATATTCTATTAACAATTTCTTATAAATTGTTATGTAACGATTCACCCCGTTACATCACCCCCCCTTAACCATCAGTCACTTTAGTGACTGATTGACTAAATGGATACTCGTCCCAAATCAGTTGGGACAGGGTTTGCACTTGTTGGTCCGCGTCCACTTTCCAACATTTCATCGCATGGTTAACAAGCCCATGCGATGCGCGAGCAAGGCCGCCGAGAGCGCGTCCGCACGTCTCTGTGCGGACGCTGAAGCAGAAACCACAGCAACTGATGTCTCATCGGTTGTTGAAGCGACTCAGCCTGTGTCACTTGGTGATGCAGGCGCTGGTCATGAAGACACACGTGTCCTCACAGAGTATGAGCTCGGTGTCTCATACTCTCCTGATACGGATGACGGATCCGTATCGACGGCGATCGAATCCAAGCCGCCTGCCAAGCGTGGCATGGATGATGCTATGCGTCGTAGCATCTTTGGTTCACCTGGTGAACCAGATGAACCATCGCCGAAGCGAAGGCGCTCAAGGTCGCGAGACTCGGGCGCTCACAGTGGTGTCGGTTCTCCAATTGACACCACTTCGCAACGAGGTGCCAGTACTTCTGTCGGCACACCGCAGGAAGAGCGGGACCGCAGTGTGTTGCGTCTCGCTCCCGAAAAGATAGCACGGCTGCCTCCAAAGTCAGTCATGGATCGCTTGTCGGCGA